AATTAAATGAATTTAAAATAAATTAATTTTCTTTGAAATAAATTAAATTAAATAAAAATTTTAAATCAAAACACAAGATAGTCTTCCTTCACAAATACATATGTACCAAAGGCTCCATACAAGAGTGACAGCTACATGCTGTAGTGACTCGATCTGAATAATTTCTTCGGAGATTTCACCATTACATTAAACAATAACCAATACTGAATTTCGTGTATATATGTATATCGTCAAAAATATATTCATACATTCACAAGAGGGATTATGCTAAATTATTTACTAACAGCACAATGTTAATTGGAGTTAAAAGCATTTTAACAGTCGATTAAACTGCTTTTACCTGAAATGGTATACAAAATAAACCGATGACTACATCCGCAAATGCCAAATTGGCTATATACATGTTTGTAACGGTGCGCATTTGACGTGTTGTCACTACCACCCAAATAACCAGCGAGTTGCCGATAACTGCCAAAATACTTATAGTGCCATAGAAAATGGATAGTAACACCACGATGCCGGTGGGTGCCGAATAGAGACGTTCTGCGAGAAATTCATACATGAGAGATTTTAAAATTTTCTGACAACAATGGCCTTACCGAATTCCGCTTCCTCGAGCACTTCGTCGACTGGCACTTGAACAACTGGGAACTCATCCATGCTGAGAGCAGCTAATGCCGCTAAGCTCTGCACAAATACTATGCCCGTATTGCGTTTGTATTTATTTAACAAGAATAACGATTGTCACATACATACACATACGTACATTTGCGCTGTTATATTACTGCTGAGATAATATTTGATAAATTTCTGTAAAAAGACGGTGAATAATACAAAGTAACATTCTGCTTTAAATAATTTTTATAAGCGGTTAATTTTTTTTTGATAATTTCAATTGTTTACAGAAACTAGCGATTCTACTACTATATGTATGCAAAGGATTACGGATGTTCTAAGGACCCGAAGAGCCGTAAGCTATCTAATAACAAGGCTGAACCTGGACTATCATTCTGGGTATAAACCCAGCCCGCCATAGGAAAGTCAGCGAAAATCAGCTCCCAATTAAACAGACTAATGGTCAATGGGACCACAAAAGAAAAATCATGATAGAACCGACTGCAGGATTATCTAAAAGAAGTACGCAGCAAGTTTGCTAGGTCGCAAAAAGTGGGAACTTGACACAGCTGCGCAAATGTTCATCGCTCAATGAGTAAAATGGACCGCAAAGCTGAAGTAGTGCAAACAAAAAAAAAAAAAAAAAAAAAAAAAAAAAAAAAAAAAAAAAAAAAAAAAAAAAAAAAAAAAAAAAAAAAAAAAAAAAAAAAAAAAAATTAAGGAAGGGCTAAGTTCGGGTGTCACCGAACATTTTATACTCTCGCATGATAAAGTATATAAAGAAAATATTATATACCGAATTTCATTGAAATCGGTTGAGTACTTCCTCAGATATAGTTTTTGTTCATAAGTGGGCGACGCCACGCCCATTTTCAATTTTTAAAAAAAGCCTGGATGCAACTTCCTTCTGATATTTCTTCCGTAAAATTTAGTGTTTCTGAAGTTTTTTGTTAGTCGGTTAACGCACTTTTAGTGATTTTCAACATAACCTTTGTATGGGAGGCGGGTGTGGTTATTAACCAATTTCTTCCATTTTTGAACTGTATATGGAAATGCCTAAAAAAAACGACTCTGTATAGTTTGGTTGACATAGCTATAGTAGTTTTCGAGATATGTACAAAAAAGTTAGTAGGGGGCGGGGCC